CGGTGCTGGCTCATGGTGAGCTTCTCATCACTCAACACGCCCAATCCTCCTCCTCAGGGCTGCTCTCCACCCATTCTCCGCCCAGCCTGCACTTGTGCATGGGATTGCCCTGACTCACGTGTAGGACCTTGCACTTGGCCCTGTTGAACTTCATTGTTGAATTTTCCACGTATCTAGGAAGAACCAAGGCTCCCAAGTGGGTATGAAGCCCGGGGAGGAGTGAGCTGTGTCCGGTTGGCCAAACAGCGCCGGTTTCTGCTTTCTTGGCAGCCTGGGCAGGACACGATCTGTCGAAGGTGGTTGGAGTTGTTGGTGGGGTGGCATATCTCAGCCCCAGCCTGCAAAACCAGGGATCCTACCCCCAAATCCACTGGCGGTTCAACAACTCTGTGAAGATCGCCAGCTGGGACAGACGCGGTGAGGTCCAGTACCCCAACAACGCCTACAAGGGACGACTGAGGCTCTTCTCCAACAACACCCTCAAAATCAGCTCCCTGCAGAAAACGGACAGCAGCACGTACCAGGTGTACCTGGAGGATGAGGCGGGCAAGGAGCACATTGAAAACATCCTCCTGACGGTGTACGGTGAGCTGAGAGGATGGGAGGGTTGTCCCAGCACCCCGCGGTGGGGACGGGGAGGTTGTGACATCCCGCTGCCTCTTGCAGATCCGGTCCCAAAGCCCACCGTGAGTGTCAAAGTGATCGGCAATGACCCGGCACGGTGCGAAGCCACCCTGGAGTGCTCGGTGGGGCTCCAAGGGGTGACTTACAAGTGGATCCTCCCCAACAAACACTCGCTGGAGAGTCAAGATGCCTCCAAGCTGCATGTTGCCTTCGACGCCTCGATAGAAACCTACATCTGCAAAGTCAGTAACCCCGTCTCCTCCAACAACGCCTCCCTGACCTACAAGCACCCCTGCTCCTGGACAGGTACCGGCCACCACGCACGCACGAGATGGCAAAACTTGGGTGGGATGGGCTGTGGGGTGGCCTTGGCTTCTACTTGCTCTGAGGACCCTCCGGGGTGACTCTGGGGACAGTGGAGCCTTGCAAGTCTGAGGGTGGCCCATGGGTGTCCTGTGGGTCTCTTTTCCCCCTGTGCCATGGGTTGGTGGGTGGCAAGAGTCCATGCAGGGAGGGAGCTGGGGGGTTCCTTGCCAGGGCTGGGCACCCACAGCCCTCTCCAAACCTCGACTCTCCCTCTGTCTCCAGCCAAGTCCTCCAGCCCTGCGTCCTGTACCACCACCAGAGTGCTGGTGGGCCTGGGACACCTCCTCTTCCTCCTCGCTCTGGCTTAACGATGCTTCGCTGTTGACAACTCTCCATGTCTCACCACCCTCGGCCACAGGACTGGTGCCTGGATGAGGCCCCCAAACCAGCTGGATGCAGAAAGATGTGGTTGCTCAAGGGAACCGTTACAACCAGTGTCTGATACACCAGCACCTGCTCGGTCTCCTCCACAGCCACCTGCTTCCCACCAGCCCAGGCTCTGGCTGCTCTGCAGCTGCCTCCAGGGTAGCTCCATGCCTCAGTTTCCCTCTTCACATTTTCTGCTTTGTTTTAATCAGAGGTCACGTTTCACAGGTCTGTCACCAATGATTTTTGAGAACTCCGGATCTAAATCGCTAAATTTACAGTTAACTGCTTGGAAATCCTCCTCTCCCCAGCCCTGACGTCTGCGGGGAGACCCAAGCTGAGCCTTTCCTGGGGCTTGCCGTGGACTTGGGAGGTCCTTGGCTGTCCCCGGGTGTCAGTGACAGCATTTATGGGACCGATGAGCAGTGTGACAGTTCAGGATAGTGCACGGGTGCAGCTGGCTGCTGCCCGATCTCCTCCAGGTCTGGACCACTGGAGCATCTTGAAGGGGTAGGGCTGTGGTGGCACCTTCCTCTTTCTCTGCTATGGACGGTTTGGCACTGCGAGTACAGGCTCTGCTTTCACAAATGTCTGCTTGTACATACATTAAATTAATTAATTTTAGCGTTTTTAGGTGCCTGTTCCGCATTCTCTTCTGGGCTGGGGTCGGCCGCAGTGAGTGCTTGGGGATGGAGGTGGGATGGTGAGGGGAACTGTGTTTTCCACCCACCTGTCCTCATGTGTCCTGTGTGTTTTCCTTCCACAGCTGTCCCCCATGGCTCTGGGTGGGGGGCACACGGGCCCACTGGGGTGGGAGGACGTGTCTCAGTGATGGAGATGGTCCCTCAGCCTGCGAGGAGGGATGGGGCCGTAGCTCAGGGCCACCGCAGCCCTGTGATGCTGCTGCTTCCACCAGCTACAGCAAACCAGCCTGAGAAAGGGGAGAACTGGGTTCTAGAGCCATCTTTAAGCAAAGCCTCTTACGACTGGATTCATCAAAGGGTCAACAGGGACCTCACCGGCTCATCTGAAAATCAGGAATGAGCACGAGTCGTTCCAGCTCCCGGGGTCTAATGAGCAGCCCGGGGTAATTCCCGCCAAGTGGCTGATGGTTTTTAGCATCAAAGTATGTTTTTTTTCAGAAATCCCTCCCTTGAAAATATTTGCTCAGGTCTTGATCCATTCCCCGATGGGTGTTTGGGATTTTTCTGCCTCTCTGACCAAACCTGGGA